TTTGCTTTTAGCGAAAAGCGTATCTAGAAAATGATACTTGTCGTATAAAGCTTATAACGCCAGAAAGCACGTAGCAAGATGTTACTATCGCGTATAATTTAGTCGCAGCAAATGGTCTATTTCTGTGGTAGAATGTGAATTCAAACTAAAATCGCTAGCATAGATAATATCGTGAGCGATTCTTTTAAACGCCTGGCGAAAGACAATGACTAAAACAGCACGATGAAAATTCTAGCTTTCTAAATTTGACGAACAAAAGTGCACGAAACGTATGGTGAAACTCTGATAAATATTTTTGTTTTAACGAGAGAAAAAACGTTTTTTCCACGTGAAATAAATAGCGCTATGACAAGTCCTGTATTTTTTTAGACAGGACTTTTTTTGTAGAGATAGGTTTAGATCTTTGCGATAAATATGCTAAAGTAATAAACGAAGCTGAACTATGTATTGCCGGCTGAAGGATTTAATCAACCAACTAGAAATCCCAACGCAAACATTTTTCATTCATCGTTGAGCACTTCAAAGCTGCAACAGCATAACACATCATTCAAGATAGGCTAGCATGAAATAAATCCTGCAGCTTGTCAACTATAACGAAAGAACCATGGACAGCTAACGTATCGGACGTGTCAAACACGAACATGCATAAATTTGCAATTCAGGCGTGTCCCTGTGAGACACGCGGCCGACCTCGTTAAACAAGATAACATTAGCTGAAAACTCAACCGCTTTCTTCTCCCATAAAACTGACCAATCGATGGCAAACAATGTTCGATCGATAGAATTGCAGGCATTTTTCAATTATTTTAGGTTCAATCCGAACTCTTCGTCTACATCTCACCCTCAGACATTTCAGATTTTCAGATCGGTTCCTTTCGCTATCTTGAATAATTTCAAATGAAACAAATCAGCTTGTAACGCGTTACATATGCCATTCAGCCTGTACTTTTTACTCAAAATCATAAATCCAAGATATTTGAAACAGGAAGCCCGCGTCCGTGTCTCTCGCTCGAGTAGCCGCCCAAAGAGCTCGTAACGCGGTATTTTTTGTTTCAAAATTCCAACCACTAGCGTGCATAGCAGTTTTACGACGTCGTCATATCCAGGCAGCCCAGTGTGCAGCAAATGTATACATAAAATCCGAATTGTAATCGAAATCGATAAACCGAACGCGAAGCTACACGTTCCTCGGAACATAGCGATCGCACGGTCTGCGATGAAGCGACGTCGGTCGGGCGGGCTAATAATGTCGACAGCGCGGCACAAAGAAGCCGGCACGTAGTAGAAAGCTTCCTTCAGTCGCTGGGTATTACCAGGACGACGACGGTACAGTATTCGCGAGCTTCGGCGTTGCTGGGCTCAGCGTAGATTTGTAGCCTGCAACGGGCACGTTCATCCCCTAAGTCTAACGTCTACTTTGCCCGGTTATATATGACCAGTCCGCCACTATATACACTTATCGCGCGCATACGTTGGCCAGCCTCAAATCCCATCGTGCTTTTTGAACGTGAAATATGGAAGGCTCGCGAGAAGCGGGAGGAGGGTGCATGGCCTTGGTAGATCTCTTGGTTCGCGAGAGTATCAGGTAAAATGCTCCCTCGCTCCCCTCTCTCTCTCTCTCTCTGTCTCTCTTTCTCTTTCTCTTTTCGTGCAAACGTTGGCTCGTACATCGGCGTAGGGTATGGCTCCATCGGTGTACTCTGATGCACAGAAAAGCCGCGGCTTCTTGCGGGATTCCACGACCACAGTTTCTATGACACGGCGAGAAAATTGGTCACCTACGTGAGTTCACTAGGGACAGATCTTGTTGTCAGCCGCTCTATCCTGCTTTCAAGTAAATTCGTCGACCTTGTCGAATCCACTTGATCCTGGAGCGTCTGTCGCGCGGCAACAACAGCACTTTGTTTTCTTCTTCGTTACTCTGTTCGATGGTTCTGTACAGATTCGTGCTGAAAGATTGATAAGACACGTTCAGAGAAAGTGCTTTAGCGTTTACCAGAGCTTGCTGCTATTTAGTCGTATGTACATAAATATTATACCGACGTTACATCACGGAATGTTCTGAAAAAATACCTGTGCTATAGTACCGCTTGATGTTAACACTTTGACTGCCACGTCAAAATCACATGTTTCGCCACGGGAGTATTTTTATTATTCAAAGCAAAATAATAATAAATTGACGATGTAAGACAACATTCTTCTCGAATGGACCGTTTATCTTACGGGTGACCACCGTGGCGCCTTGCTAACAGTTGATAGCGATATATTATAACAAGGCTTCGTTTATTTCAATAAACCATTCGCATTCGTTATTTTATTGTAAGCAAAACGTGCAGAATATATTGTTGAAACGTGTAGAAGATATTGGGATGAAATGATAGAGATCCGCAAAGAAAATTATGTTTGTGATAAACCAGTGGTAGTGGTAGATTACAACAGAGGAAAATGTGCTGTAGATTTATCAGATCAAGTGATAGCATATTCCACACAACATAGAAGAACCCTCAAGTGATATATAAAATTAGCTTTAGAGTTATTGTTAAATACATCAATTTCAAACGCGATGATACTCTATAAACAAGCAGCAAAAACAAAAATCAAGGTATCTGATTTTAGAACGGCACTCGCAATGCACCTTACACAGTTTCATTCACCGGAACCGTAAAATATATTTATTCGACAAATATTGCGACACGAAATGCAGAAGAAAGAAGGACAAGCGTACCTGGCAGGAAAATTTTGCAGAGTGTTATAAAAAAAAGTCACACAGTTAGGATCAAAAATTGCTAAGAATCGGACCAAAAAGGTGACCACCTATTGTCCAGATTGTATCGATGAGCCACATTTATGTTTAAAGAACATTTATGTTTAAAATGTTTTAATACAGTGCACCGTTAAATGCAAGATTTGTTCTCATTTTTTTTTATCGATGTTCTAATAAAAATGTTTAATTGTTCAATGGGCCACTTTTTATTTCAAAGTATCTTCTATTTTTCGGTTATATTCAAAATACCCTGACTGTCAATTTTCATACAGTTTTTACAATTGTAAGAAGTTCATGCGCTCCGTTCACCAATGACCACCGTGGCGTCACAGGAGAAACCGTGGCCGGTCATATATGGCCAACGTAGCAGTCAAAGTGTTGAAGGCTATTAAAGAAATGCACGTACATACTTGGCATCGATACGTTGTTTCAATAATATGCAGAGTGGAAATAATATGCAGAATGGAATGGAAAAAGGTTGGAGAAACACTTTACGAGCGTATGCATAATTATTCGTCAAAAGAAGGAAAAGAGTGTCAATAAGCGTAGCTTCAAAAAATACTAACTCCTGAGTTACGACGTTAACGACGTTAAACACTTTATCTTTACAGTATACGTGTGTTCGATATCACGGTCGTTCATCTCAACACATACGTCGATACATTTTCACGGAGAAGCACCCACACGTTGTGAAGATCCCTAGCATTTTGGTTACAGTTTTCTATTCGTTGTATAGACTCATTTAAGGAAGCAATCGGTTCATCATGCACCAAACATCTTGTAACGCCGAAACCAATGACTCTTTTCCTCATGTTTGTTAGGATTTTGCTTTGTTCTTTGCTTGTTTTGACGAGTATTATGTGCCAGTACTGAAGCGTTTGCCCAAGTTTCTCGTAAGATTGCCCATATCTGTGTGATAACTTGCGATCGTTACTTTCCTTGGTGATACCTACCACGCTGAAACGGTGGTTGCGAATTATTTTTGACGTTGAATCTCGTGCAGTCGCGTTTGATATATCGGTAATCTCAGTGTATCACGCCAGTAGCTAAGTTTCCACGGAACACGAGCAATAACAAAGCCAATCAAGTTCACAGTTTCTACGAGGAAGAAGCCTTTGCACCGAAGGCCAATCTAGTTAGCACTCGCCGACACAAAGAGCTCGCTTTCCATCTTTTCTTCGCTTTAATACCTATAACCACAACGGTGGCGAAGAAAATTTGTGTACTTGAATCGTGTTCCCGGCTGTTGTTCCACGCGAAATCTACGATTCTTGGTGTAATCGCGTGGCTGCCGTGTTAATTAAAACGCCTTTCAAGGCACGTTTAATTAAACCGCTTCTAATAAATTCCGTAATATCGTGGCGGCGTTTTGTCATTTATTCAACGTTCGCGTACAGTTATCAAAGATCGGCTGACACTCGATAATTCAGCGACGCCGAACTAAAACCTGTCGTCGGTTAGGCTCGTGTGAAAAACGAGCATAAAACGATACTCGTGCAATTTAGCTTATAAATGTGCGTTATTAAACAGGATGCTTTTTACGTGATAACGTAGATGGGTATAATAAAAAGATGTGCAGGTTTGTTATTAAAGTCAATGCAAATTGCAATCTGACAAGGAATTTAAACCGAACATCGTTTTCATTACACGGAAGAAAAAGCATTCGATTATTTTCTACCTCTACGTATCGTTACAGACACGGCAAAGTGATTATTCCAACTCTGCAATCTCTTTCCCCGTTGATGTCAGAAATTCGCTCGATCGCGATACCATCTCCGCCATCGTCGCGTCGTTACTAAACAGTTGCCGTAATTTGCATAAAGCGACACGCGTATCTTAGATTACGCGTCACAGAGTGACAAGCTGTGCTCGCGTCTATAATCCCAACAGCTAAAATGAATACGAAGCACGCGCGTTCGCCGAGTCCCTCGTGAAATTCGGTACTCTTTAATTGCCAGGCTCGAAGCCTGTGCGATTCCTCTACTAGGACTCGCGTAATCTCCGTGAAAGAGATTCGCTTTGCGCGAGCATAGAACAGAGAATAGTACACTGGTGATTAGTGCTGACGCGTTTGCAGAACGATTTGCAGCGTGACACGCGCGGAACGTTGAAAACGAAGTACAAGGTGTCTTTGGCAGAATCCTTCGACGATTGCCGCAGACACGACTGCTCGTTTGTCTGGCAAATGTTGTAAAGTCTGACTCGACTGACAGAACCGCGTTTATTCATGTTTCAGAGGGGCAGCTGTACGCAGCGACAGTGGCCGACTTCTCCGGTGGCGAGCCGCTGATTCACAGGGAGAAGATCCGCACCGAACGTTCCGATCTCAACCAGCTGAACGGTAATAGAAGTCGCGCAAATTGCATTGGAATATTCGCACGTTAAATTCTAGCGAACGCGATACCGGCTTTTCTATCGCGATACTTGCCAGCCTCTATTTTCCCGGCAGAATTTTGCCACGTTTCTAAATTTTAATTGCGCTCCATCTGATCTCTCGCTTCGTTTTATGTATCTCGGAAGTATTATGTCGTGGCATCGCGTAAGGAAGTATACGACAAGAGTTTGCATTGTGTTATTCGCGTAACTATTACGATTAACTGAAATACAAAATAAAATAATTAAAAATATCAGACGTCTACCGAGGCAAATAATTCTGGCCTTAATTAGGTAAGAAAACGCAGAGCCGTAAACAGCGATCAATTTAACCGTAAAATATTGAAAGAAAGCAGAGAGTTTACGGATAAGATTGAATTTTAAACTAGAAAATCATTTTTACGCGAACTATTGAACTCTCGAGTTGCCTCTGGTAATTGAAATATTCGATATTTATTTAATCGACGTTTTAACGATCGCACTTGGAAAACCGGTCGCGACAGAATGTCCAGCAATTGCCGTGCTATTTTTGAATTTCCCGTATCTTCTCATCGTACCGCGTCCATATAAAATTTTACGACACGGTCGCACGTGAAAAGTTATCGCATGGCATTGTGCTTGTTATACTCGCAGCTCGTATACAATGGACGATGCTTAAACGATGTAAGAAGCTTTGCATAAATTATATGCTGCAATTTGCGTATTCACCTAGACGTGCTTTTTTTTCTTCCTCTCTTATTTTATTTTTTTTTTTCATTCTTCTCTTACTTATCACCGATTGCGAGTTGCGAATTTGCGATGCACAGTTTTGTATAAATTACATAATCCATTCAAAGCTTCGGGAATTTTTGATCGATCGCAATTTCCACGCAGCGATCCCGTTGGCAATTTATCATACTGCCCGCTCTTTCGAAATTACCAAGTTATTGGAAGATCCATCTAGGATCCGAAACGGCCGCATAATTTCCTCTGCATTGTAAAATACGTGGAACGTTATCGAACGAGAAGCGTAATTTAGAAAGAATGGAGAAGATATGAGAAGAAGGAAATGAAGAGGGAGATGGAGGTATTCGTCGAAACAAACAACAAACTGCGATGAATTTAACCCTTCAAAATGTTAAAGTAGCATACGCTCGCGCGAACAATGTACCGTCGTTTCACGGTTTGCTTGTTTTTTTTCTTTTTTATTATTATTTAATTTGTACTTTACAATTTGTCCAGCTGGACATTTGATAAATTTTTCTAACTTAATTGCTAAATAAGATGTGGATGGCTACCCCCAGCGGTATACCATCTTCGAGTTTGACTATTTTATTTCTTTAGTGAGGTCAGTAGGGTGTTTTCTTTTTGGTCTTCTTTCTATGAGAGTTTTGCTCGCTTTAGCAGCCAGCTGGTTGATTTGTTTCTTTCGAGCGAATACCGTTGCCCCTAACAAATTCGAACGTTACTGTTACAGGACCGAACTTTGTCAGCTCGTTTGCGTACGAAGATTACGTCTTCTTCTTTTACCGAGAAACAGCCGTCGAGTACATGAATTGTGGCAAGGTAAGGCTTACGAAATATTAACGACGCGCTACCTACCTATTTATATTTACCTACTCGATATCAAAGACCGTTTTACGATGCGGAATTTCCAAAGCGACGACATTGCAATATCGAAATGTCACTCTTTGTCAGCGAAAGCACTTTAACGAGCGATTTCTTAAAAAATGGCCATACGTAACGTACGCTTTACGATCTCTACTATTCCCTATATTCTTGGTATTCTCAAATTTTCACGCACCGACAATTTCCTTTCCTTTTGCCCCCTAATCCCAGTGGCAAAGTAACGCAGTATAATAGCGCTGGATGCAGGCTAGAGTAAGACGGTCCGAGTAAAGAGGAAAGAATCGAAGAAGCCGATTGTTCGAAAGCTCCGGCTGCATTTGTGTTTTAGGCAGTGTACTCGCGGGTCGGTAGAGTGTGCCAGCACGACAAGGGCGGACCTCATGCGTTCAGCGACAGATGGACGAGCTTCCTGAAAGCGAGGCTCAACTGTTCCGTGCCCGGCGAATACCCTTTCTATTTCAATGAAATACGTGAGTATGCCTGCATGTACACACATCGTATATACGTGCGCCCGTAAGTTCGCCATGGTATGACGTTTGCCGAGACCCTCGTCGAGTGCTCTCCAGTCCCTATGTGCCGGACAAAGGGGTTGGCCTAACCGGTGTACTACCTTGCAGACGTATCGAGTGGGATCCGACCAATTTTACAAACAAACTGCCTCGTTGCGAAAGGCACGCGAAATTTATCGTTCGTCTGGAGAATTTTTCCACGGCATTGGTAGGAGACGGTAGAAAATGGAATTTTTTCGCCAGTTGGTGATACGGACAAACGTTGTTTATAAATATTATTGCGCTGTATTAACTACCGATAGTTAACACGAAGCTATTTCTACCAAAAGCAGTCATAATGACTGGTTTTAAAAAAATATATAATAATAGAGTATTTTTATATTTATTGATTTATTACTTTCTTACAGAAGAAATTCCATATTATATAGCACATTTTTGGTAGTATTAATCCATCTGCGACCATCATGCCTAAAGGAGGGTTGGTATATTTATAAAATTGTAGAACCAGTCATTTTGACTGCTGTGGTATTTCTAGTGTTAGTATCTAGCGATCTGACGATTGATCCGGAATTTTCCTAATAACTGGTATCATCATATCGAATGATACGCAACAAAAACTTTGATAACGTGTGGGTAGTTGTACGAAACGAGAGAACTGGCTAATTGGGGTTCGATATACAGATTGCAGGACCCTTTTACGCTTTGACAAGTACCGGTCGTTTTGACTGGTATTGGTATAAGTAGCCTTGATACAAAATTATCTTCAGTTTGAATACATAAAAAACAAAATAAAATTCATTATATTATTCTTTTGGTTATTGTTGCGAAAGTCATTACATCATTGCGAAAAAAAGTATAACATGAAGTAGGAATTTTAAAATAAAATTGTAAAACCAGTCAATTTCACTGGCGTGATAGTTCCAGTGTGAACAAGGACGAGAAACTATTGGAACGTTTATTTAGATGGTATTTGGAGTAGTGGCGCTATGAATTTTGTACGATCATTCGTTCGAGAAAATCATCTACTTACGTATATCCGTAAATATAATTATTTGACGCAACATTGTTTGATAGTTTATAATCGCTAGTGCAATTAACGTAGGAGTTGAACGCTTGAAATTAAATTTCGTTAAGAAAGGAACTGGCAATTCGACCCGTGCAATTTATACGCGAAGAATCTGAAATGGTGTTCGTAAGTACAAAGGTCTGGCAACGTAATCTCTAAATAGAGATCAAATTTTGGCTAAAAGCAAGCTTGAACGTGTGCATAGTCTAATTGGGCCGGAGTCCAAGGTCCAAATAGTCTAACAATTCTCAAGGATGATGCTCTCCAATTTTGTATCTCGTGTACGATCCACGTGTAATGCAACTTGATTTCACAAATTTCCTTGTACTTCCATTACTCACTCCCATTAACGGAAAAACAGACCAACGTTTACGTTTCAATGTTTCGCTTTTGAAACGTCGCTTACGCTCAGTTATATTTTGTCGCTATGGTAAAATTGCTTTGCACGTTGTTATTACAAATCGATCAAAATACCTGAATGCCCGCCAGCCAATAGCTAGAATAATTTTATTTCAAGGTTAAATTGCCACCGTTAACGCAAACAAATTTTTCTCTCTCTTTCTCTCTCTCTCTCTCTCTCTGTTCATCCGCAGCCGAGATAATAGTTTCCCCGGTTGAAATTTCGTTGCTGAAGACGAGAAAATCTGGATCCTGGTAGATACTCGATAAACCTACTCGTTTATTCTTCATTCTTACGTCAGTACGTCTGAGTAATTGCTAGCTGGCAATTTCGAGGATGCAACGTAAATTGGCAAGAGAGAGGATCGGGCTTCCCGGTTATAAATATCGTCGCAGATAAGACGCCTCCGATATTCCTTACGGAGCTTACTAGAAATCCATTCAGCTTCATCTCTCTTTCTCTTAGCCTCGGTATCTAGCTGTGTATCAACGACTGCCCGCGTAATTCTTCTTCTTATGGAGCACGCTTTATCGCGGCCGATCGTTTTCAACGACCCTTAGCTGAGAAAATAGCGAACAGAAGAAAGAGCACCAATCGATCGGAGCGGAGCGTGCAATTATAACTTAACGACATGGTGACGAGCAAATGGATTTGATTCGTTGCTTGGTCACCGCGTACTCGATTCGATATCCATTACATTCACCACCATCCTCCTCCTCTGCTCTGCTCTTTCCTCTTTTCCGTTTTCGCTTCTGCTCAGCGATTTTCCTTTGCTGACCCACCAATTTCCCAGGGCGCTTCTCGTCCGGCCAAACTAGTTTTCCTTATCACCGCCACTTATTACATTATCATTCCGTCGGCCCGCGTTTTATACAACCTCCCGACCGCCTAATATCTTTCTGCTGCGTCACGCGAATAACAACCGAACGATTTTTCTTTGTTACGTTGCTCGTCTCATTTCGTTCGCTGGGTCCGCTCCGATTAGTTTCGCGTTGTTTTTATCGTTCGATGGAATAGAATGCTGGCTGGGTATCTGTAAGGAGAGTTTGCCGTGCCAAGTACCTGTTTGGTGGAAACGATTGCTGTGAATAACACTTTCCCACCGAGAATCAATCAGCAGCAACGCTCTTTACAAAATCGCTGAGATGAAAATCGTTGGAACAGCGAAGAATAGAAGGAACTCGCGATTATGTAACTCTTTTACGATTACGAACTTGTATACGAGTTGGAAAAAACTTGCTGCGTCGCAAGAACGCTACTCAATTGAACAAATATTTACGACGCTGCGTTAAAAGCGTCATAAACGTTTGGCTCGCGATGGCCGCTGCCGACCGACAAATTGACGAGAGCAAAGTGGCTGGTCTTATTGTCAGAGTTCGATTGGCTCGGTGCATTACCAAAAGATTAGGATGCTTTTGGAGTTTTTGTTGCGCCAACGAAGAACCAATGGAGCGGATAAATCGCGAGAACGTGATTTTGAAGCTTTCATTTTTGATAGCCACTCGCGCGGATATCTCGTGTCATAAACAAAGTTTTTAATCAACGAATTTTCCAAGTCCCCTTCGAAAGAGGTCAAGAGTTAATTGAACGAGAGAACCGAGGTGAATTTGTTGCGACTATACGGTGGACCAGACGTGTCGTTCGGAGCGTTATCTGAAACGTACGCTGAGATTAGTTTCGGTGAAACGTCAGATAAGAGGAAGAAAGACGGGTTCGACGGTGATATTACTGGCAACTTTCAAGCATTTCGTATAGTTATTCAAGATTAGGCCACCGTTTACCGTTTCGTAGGTTGGCACATCGATTTCGTAAGGAAATTTCATCTTTAACCGCATCTATTAATCCGGTTATTTAAGAGCGAGAAATGAAAAAGAGGAACGAACACGACGATAATTCTTTCCCGTTTTTGATTTTTTGAAGATCACTTTTTGAACCCGAGTGAAATTGATCTGGTGAAAAAGTTGTATTTCGACATCTGTATAAAAATACCAAAAAGCACGGAAAGATATGAAGAGGCACTAGACGTCCGATACATTGATACCTATTTTGTTTCCCTTTGAACGAGCGCTCGATGAGCGTCAATAATATTGTATAAAATCCATTGAAATATACAAAATATACAATACACATATTCAAGCGTATAATATAAAACAATATAAATCTTAATATCCAATTATGGAATAATTAAGTTTCCACATATGATGCGTAATAAAACGTTGCTCGTTTTATTATAAATCGAATTTTATCAAAAATATTAACAGGATATATTTGATTTATTTTGAAATGTTACTCGTATATACGTGAAATATACTTATCTTTCATCGTTAACTAGTGCCTATTATTCTTACGTTGGTATACAAACGCGGTAAAAAGATTTAAAAAAAATAGGGAAACATTGAAGTTCTTTTGAAGTTCACTGCAACAATCTCGAAAAGTAGCCATTGAAACAAGGAGAAAAAGAGAACAAAGCGGAACCAACACACAGCGGACAACCTAGCCCTTCGTCGGATCTTTAAAAAACGAAGAACAAAAATGTTGGTCTAAAATCAACGCGAAGACGATGCATCGAAAAGAACAATGAGAAAGCCGAACCGAATAAACTCCCTTTGCACATGAAATTCCGCCTCTTGAAAAAAGGAAAAGAAAAGGAATCAAGGCGTTTCGAAAATGTGCTCTGGAGGGCAAAACCTGAGAGCAGAGAACCCTAACGGGAACCACGTCGGAAGCCCCGACAGAGATCCCGGAGGAAGAGCCATCAAGCTCGGTTCCCGCGGTGTCGGACACGCATTCCCTTCGCCATCAGTTCCACGATCACGCTCGGAATCTCCGTCGTTCTCCCCGTCTTCTCATCTCGCGTCAGTGTGGTACATATTCTAGGTACATATTCACCGGCACGTTCAGCGGTTTTCAGAGCTCGGCGCGCGCGCGCCTATGTACTTTGTCACTCGATAAGTCGGCTGGGTTGGTTATGGAGCAGCGGCGAAATGAACCAGCAGCAGCAGCCTCGAGTGCGGAACACAATGGTCGCTCCGCGCACCGTCGACCCGCAGGATCGAACGAACAGTGTGGACGGGAGACACGTCGCGTCGCGGCTCCGGAGCGGCAGAGGGTGGCAGTGGATGGCAGAGGATGGCAGAGGGGAGACACAGACTGCTGGTTCTCGTATAAACGTAGAATATTGTCGCCGCACATCGAACCAAAATCCCTATCCGGCCGAGGAAAGTTGGCTATGGTCCAGCTGGGAGAGCCGCCGGTGGATCGCTGCCAAATCGCAGCTCCG